GGCCAAGATGGCCTTCACCTTCTCCACCGAGCCATATTGGGCTGCCCACATCAGGGCAGTCTGGCCGTACTGGTCTTGTAGGTCGATGTCAGGGTTTTTGGCCAAAACGGCCTTCATGATGCCCATGGAGCTGTTGGTTACTGCTGCCAACATCAGGGATGTCTGGCCCTTCTCATTCGGCTCGTTCACGTCTGCACCGTTCTCCAGCAGTGCTTGGACGGTTGCCACGTCGCCCCGCCGCACCGCATCGATGAGGGGCGTGGCCGTGCCGAGGTGGACGAGGGACAGCAGCAGCAGCAGCATCTGCTTCACCACGGCCATGGCAGCGCGGAGCGAAAAGGACCGTTTTGGTCGCGGGTGTGTTGAGAGCCATCAGGTCACTGGCGCCAGGTGCGGGGTGAAAAGAGAATTTGGAAACTGAGGCCTGAAGAAAACATCTGAAGGAAGCTGGACAAGAACAGCACACATGCCATTCAACACAGCTTGAATAGAACACGGACTTCCACATGCCATATCTGCCAACTTTGCTGTCAGAAAGTCGCCAAAAGCTGCCGCGGAACGAAACTCCCAAGGCTGCTGCTGGTGAAAAATCCTCTGTTTGCATGCTGCAGCACGTGCTGCCTCGCCAACTGGTTTGTGCGTCCGAACGGTTCGCCACTTTGAGAATTTGATGAGCTTAAAACAAGCTTTTTCTCAAGGATCATTCGGCTCTCCGCTGCACTCATTACAAGACACCAGTAGAAAGATGTGACCAGATGAAACAAACCCTCAGCCGCAGGCCTGTCAGCGGCGATTGCCTGTCCTCGCCGGACACCTGGACGCCGCGATTCGAGCGCCGGGACACCGAAGCCGCGTTGCTTCAGCGGATGACAAAACTCATCAAAACTCACCAAGCTGCGACCTTCGTCGGCTCTATGGTGCTTGTTCACAGGTCTTGACATCTGTTGGGGTGCACTGGGCAAAGCTGCAGTTCCCTCCACGGTGGCACCTCGAGTGGTGAACAGCTGGGACACCTGCAAGGTGCAGGAGGCCAAAAAGGGGACCTTGGCATGGCCGGCCAATCAACAAGTGAAACAGTTCAAATGGAACAGGCAAAACCTTCTTACGGACGATCGACAGCCTCACCACCCACTCTGGGCAACATCCTGCCCCCGCGTTTAGGCGGCATACTGAAGATTCTGAAGAGAAATGGATGAAATCTGCATCAGAAACCACCACCAAAACACCCTAAGTTGACTCAAATACCCATTCAATGCTCGGAGTGAGAGCAGTATAGCCATTAGAAGGCACGCCGTGTTTCTCACGCACTCATAAAACCAGAAGTCAGAGTTCCGCAACGATTCATCGGACGGAACCGAGCGCCGCACATCACAAGCACGGTTCCGTCCATGCAGCGACAGCTCCAGACACCTCCAAGCCATTCCGCTTCACGAACTTCCGATTCAATCCACCAAAGGGAGAAAGAAGTCATTGAAGTCTTCCTCTCTTCTACACCGGACCGTCTTCTCCTCCCTTCTTGCGCCTTCCCGCACCCCTTCGCCCCCTTCGACCCCGGAGGCCTCGCATGCGCTGGTGGCAGAGGCGTAGCTGATGACCTCGAGGCTTCGGAGAAGCACCGGCAACCGACGGCGGCACCGTGATACCACGGTGCATCCGAAGAAGAGGGAAGGAGCACAATCCCCAATGAGTACTGCGCATGTCATTCGGGTCAGTCTGGATCGTCTAGAGCTCTATATATATATATATATATATGTGTGTGTGTGTGTGTGCTGTGTGTGCTATAGTATAAGGAGGACATGTCTTGTGCCTAAGCATGCCTTGTGCCTCAAAACACGTGAAGCAGGTCAACGTTCACAGGTCGAGCATGCGCTTGTTGGACGATTGCTGGGACCCAACACCCGGTTCGGCACAAACATGAAAAAAAGAACGAAAACGTCCCCCGTCCCCCGTCCCCCGTCCCTGTCCCCGCGGCCGTCGGCGTCCAGGTCTTCCGCATGCTCTGCAGCAGCTCCGCGGCCGAGCGCCTCGGGCGAGGAGCCGCGCCGACACGAGGGCGACCGCAGCGCCGGGGGCGACGGAGTTGGATCCACTTTGGATCGGCATGCATGATGTGCACAAACACAAAAGGAGTTGGATGAAGAAGTTTGATGTTGTGACCCTAAGCGTGGCACCTTTCTCTCAAGGATCCCTTTGCCACGCGCTGCACCACTGTCCACGCGCACCTGTCAGCTTGGTCCTGTCCTCATCCACTTGGGCCTCCCAGCCAGGACATGGACATCTTGTGGGCGCCCAAGGCCGAATTGAAGCCTCGCTCATCGGGTCTGACATCAGTGGAGGAGGCCAGTTGAGGCCACGATGTTACCTGGTATCAGACACGACTTGGAGGCCCCAGGCTTGGCCTGATCCAGGAATACGTGAGGTGACCTCTCTCCCAAAGAAACTGAGGATTGCAACCAGTTTTGCCCGGAGAAGAACAAATGGAGCAGTTTAAGGCTCCTCGACTCATCCGACCTTCGCGACCCCGCTCCGCATCTTGCGAGAGCCCCGAGAAGCCCCGAGGGCCCCCCGGTCTTCCGCCGTCTCCCGTCCAAGCCGCTGATGACGTCGGTGACCTCCATGGAGGAGAAGAGCTGCAACCTCAGAGCGCCCCTGGCATCGCTGCACGTCGCGAGTTGTGCAGTGAAGAGAGCTGTAATTGGTATAGAGAAGGAACCACCCGCTCGCTCTTTAGCCCTGGATTCTGGATTGTCTCATATTCTGCAGCACAGGTAGATGCCCCCAGCTCCCTCAGAATCGCCCAGAAAACAAAAACGTACTATATATATAAACTATACTATATATACATGTCTTATTATGTGTAATGCTTTGTGAATTTCTGGCAGGGATTGCGTTCCACAACAGGCAGGTTGGGGGGTGAGCTAGACATCAAGGAAACGAATCAATGAAAAGTGTCCAAAACCACCGGAGGACCGAGACCCCAACTCCCTCTGTTTCTGCAAAGACTTCCCGGTCGACGGTCTCGGCTCCGGGCGCGTGCGTCCAACGTCCTTCGAGCGAAAGCAGGGCCGTGCTGTAGCTGGTGAGGTTGGGCTGCAGCTGGACCTCGTTCGCAGCTTCGAAATATCCTCCGGGACGGAAGGTGGAAGCTGAACTCGAAATAAATGGATATATAAATGGTAGGGCCGCAGGGCCTCTAAGGGTCTGGGCACCAGAAAACACCATCGTTCAGAAGGATTGACAAGGGAAACGGGAAACCCCACTACTTTCCGCCATTCACTCCACCAGAGATCTCCCTTACAGTACATAAGCTTGGGCAACCTGATTGCAGGAGATTGCCAAACACTGATTGCCGGACGGTTTCAAAAATTCTGAAGCAAAAACGAAGATGGAAAACAAGAACTGAAGATTGAACACAAAATAAATATATATATATAAAGCACATATAGATATGATATATATGTAATCCAAAAAGGTCGGTGATCGTCCCGGGTGCTCACCTGCATGGACCAAGCGAGCATTCCCATGGCCCGGCGCCAAGTCAACGAGAGGAGCAAGGCCTTCGAAGGGGAACTGCAACCGCCAAGCGTGGAGCGATTGACCGGTATATGGCGGAACTGAAAGCTGTGGATTTGCTCCTTGGAACTGGAGAAATTCAGAGTTCGTTTGTCTCGACTCCGAGGTCTGCATGATTCAAATTGGTGGAAAAAAGACCGCCAATTCCTGCCGGCCTGCCATGCACTGCCATCATGGTTGTTACCCGTTTTTGCATCCAACGATCAAAAATTATATTGTGTAACGTTCAGGCCAAGTAAACTGGCTACAGACTACAGACCCTTGTCTTTGCCCATCACACATGAAAGAATGAGAAACGTCTCTACATCAGATTCTGCTTCTTTAAACGAATGTGGCAAACGCAGAGCTGAGCCAGGCGTCATTGCAACTGACCACGTCTTCCTTCAAGAGATCTCCTGATCCGACGTGTCAGTGTGCCGTGTGACGTGTGAAGTGTCCTAAAAATTCCTAAAACATGATAAATCCTGCACCCAAGAAACAAGCACCTTCCGTTGCCCCGTGAATGCTGACACAACGCGGCCTGTGACATCACGCCAGATTCCACCTTGCTGCCATCTGTGTTGGTTCACTCCTATGGTTGTGGATCTGCAGCTTGCCTTATGAATTTAAAGGCTTACGCCTAAACAGCCGGGTGCCGGCCCACTTGGGTCTGTGTAGGGCTGGGTCGGGCGCACGTTAAGCTATCGGGGGCGTACTGGGCCCTGGGTGGTGCCAAGGTGGGAAACTGGTCCGCGTCGGAGACGGGGGCCCTATATTGAGCAAAGTTAAGCTATCTGGTGCGCATCTTGGCCCTAGGTTGGGCCAAGTTGGGCCCATGTGGTCTATGTTGGCCACATCTTGGGCCCATGTTGAGCCTATGTTGAGCCTATGTTGGCCTATGTTAGGCCTATGTTGGCCTATGTTGGCCTAGGTTGGGCCTATGTTGGCCCAATGTTGGCCTATGTTGGCCCTATGTTGAGCCATCTTGGAGGCTATGTTGGGCATATGTTGGGGATATGTTGGCTATCTTGGGCCTATGTTGAGGATATGTTAGGAAATTTAAGTCGTCTGGAGGGCCTCTACCCACAAAATGTCGATCAAGCCTGTCCGCCCGGCGCGCATTACCGACACCACCCTTGAAAAACACAGCGTTTTTGCATTTATCCATCTTCGCCGTAAAACACAGTCTCTTTATACCTCACACACACACACGAAACACTGTAAATTACAGGGGCTTCAGTGACCCGGACGTCCGCCCGTTTCGGGCCCGAGGGTCGGCGGCAGGGGTATCCGGCCAGGGGCCCTGGCCGTGTCTTTGCCGTAGGCAGTCTCTCCTCTCCGAAGGAGAGAGGGGAGTCCCGCCCCAGCTGCCGACACCCAGGAATATTTTGTTTTACAATGTTTTCTGCTTCTTCCATTTTTCCGGCTTTGTGGCTCAAGATGGGTCACCATGGCCCAACATAGGCACAAATAATGCTGGAAATGCGCGCCGCGCCGGGGTGCTTCGTCTGCATCGTGGGCGGCTGCTGTGCCCACGTCCACACCCACCACCACCACCACAACCACAACCACAACAACAACAACCACAACCACAACCACAACAACAACAACAACCACAACGACAAGAACACTACCACGACTGCAACAAGCCCTTTGCTTGGGCCCCTGGCGGGCTGTCGGGCGTAAGCCCTTAAATAACCTTCGGTTACCACCGAAGGCCCTCCAGGGCACGGGCTTCGTGGCCGGCGCCCGGATTACCCGTGCCCGTGCGGCCCCTGCTCCATGTATCAGGTACAAAATGCTTTGAGTCACGTGCCCTAAAAGCAGAATCTCCCCACCACATCAGCTTGGCTGGTCGTCTGCCAGTCGTCTCCTGCCAGCTGCAGCGACCTGGGCCAGGCGGAGCTCGAAGACAGCGCCTGGGCCAAGCATGGTGGTGTCTCCACGGCCGTTCGAAGATCGAAGTGGGCCAGGGATGAGGGCAGCGGAGAATTCTCCAGGGTGCTTTGATCTGGGAGATCTGGGATCTTGAGGTACTTGCATGAGGGGAAACGCTTCAAGAGGCTTCTCGTTGACAACCGGCCCACAAGTTGGGATCGTTACGATGTTTTGGCCAGTTTGGGTCCTCCATGGCACGGCGTGGTGCAACAATTCCTAACAAATTACAATCCCCACTCTTTCTCTTTGGCCTTCTGGAAAGCCGTCCACCCCAGCGGTCGATCCGAACTGGTTCGACGGATGCCGAAAGCGACCGCCCAACTGAGGTGGAAGGCACTCACTTTCTCATCGTTCGAGTTGGAACTGGGAATCCTCCAGGCGACCCCGACTGCATTGAAGCAGAAGTGGTTGGGTTCCACCTCGGACAGGCCGTGAGCACATGTGAGCACGGCAAGGTTCCATCCACGGTGGCTCTTCTGACTATAGTAGCGCCCTTTGTTACGTTCGTCGCGTCCTCTCGTTCCTAGTAGTACGGCCGTTCGGCCAGCGTCCGACCCGCTCGGCCTCGTTCGACGTCAGGCCTCCGGGCCTCCGGACGTGCCACGCCGCCATGCAGCGCAGGAGGTCGTAGGCCATCTCCCAGTCCTTCACCTGGCCCAGTCAGTGCTGACCAGGTATACAACCAACCAGATTCACGAAAACTCCTCCCCTGACTCGTCTGACGTGTGGGCCAATGAATGGGTGTAGGCCGCCGCAGGCTGCAAAACGAGCTCTCACCAAGTGGTCAACGACATGGGCTGGGAACTCCACAGTCAGTCGTCTGCCCAAAAAATAAAGCCTTCCGAATCCTTTCTGGACTCTGGACATGACATGGCGGTGAAATGATGGGCCGTCACCTCACCCCCCTGTCGCGCCAAAGGCCGTGACCATCGGTCATGGGAACGCCATTCCGAGCGAGTGGCGACCGGGTTCTCTCCGGACGCAGGACCGCCGGCCTGCTCGCAGGCACCAAGGCCTCCGGCGAAGCCTCGGAAAGAAAGAGGGGCCCAAGAGTGTTGCTTTACTTTGGTGATCTCACAGCGTACAATATCATACATCCGTAATGATCTGAACGACTTTGCCGCGCGAAATGAAGCCCCAACGGCCTCACTCAGTGGCTCAAGCACCCTTTTTGAAGCCCGAGAATCTCACCACGTCATGTAGGCCACGAGCGCGGTGCAAGTCCATGAGCATCGTCAACGGCCATTGCCACGTGGCGGCGCCCTTGGCACAGGCGTCCATCGTCGCATTGGAGCTGATGAGGTCCGCAGACACCCGCTGCACGGGCCTCAGAAGGACTCGGTCGGACGAGGGGACGGGTGAATTGATCCAAAACAAGGTCTACAAAGCAACCGAGTGAACCTCCAGCTCGCCATAGTCAGTCCATGTCTCTTTGTTTTTGGAAATTATGCGCGGTTCCCTTCAAAGCATTGTCACCGGGGGATGTTCGTTACCCGCCAAAAATAATTGAATTGCAAATCGTCCAATTAACCTAAATGGGATCGCGCATAAATTCCAAAGCTTTATCATTCCCCCTCCCAATTCAGCCTTTTCGAGATTCCCATCTATTCTTCGGATAGATCCAGTTCCTCCCTCAGCTTCCACCTAATTAGCCCGCCCAAAGCCCTCGTTTTCACCGAAGCCGCATGGCTGCGAGCACCCATGCCGCCACCGACCAAGACATGGACCCACCGGGCTCATCAAACGGCCTAGCGGTGGACGAGCATAAAGAAAGCTGCTGGGTCAACGGTCTGCCATTCATACTGGCAACTAGGGTTTTCTAGGGGTTCTATAGGGGTTCTATAGGCTACACGAGTCGGGCTTACAGAGTTCAAGCCCTGCTTGTAGGCTTTCAGTGTGTGGCTGCAGATTTTAGGGTTCAGAGTCTTTTCCGTGAAAGAGTAGAAAGCTCAGGGAACAAGAGCAACAAACATGCGAATGTGAAGAACTTACATGGCACCTAAACACCACAAAGTCGAACACTGGTCGAATTGCCACGATTTCGGAAGAAGTTGGACTTGGAAAAGACCTACATTTCATCCGCCACCCTTTCCTGAAAAACGCGCCCCCGCAAACCGCCCCCAAAACCGCGCCTTGGCCCAGGCTTCCACTGCCAAGGAACCCCACAGGCGGACAAGCTGGCGTTGTACCTGCCGTGCCGCCGTGACCGCTCTGGCGACGACCGTGCCGATCCGTGCCGTGTGTGCTGTGACCGCTCGAAGACTCGCGTGTGGGCTTTGGACCTTAGCAAGTTCTCACGCGGTGCGGGCCTCAGGAAGAGATGCATGTAATGTATATATATGTATATCTGTGGCATGTAGCATGTAGTATAACTTTATGCATGTAGTATAACATATATTGTATTGTAATTAGTTCTATGTTTGCTTTTGATTGGGATGCGAAGCGTGACGCGTGTGGTTTGTTCGCCATCTTCAAAGCCCTTTCCGATGCCTGACGCAAGTGATGCCCTTGTTCAGCGTATCAGACAGGCAGGAACAGAAACCGAGCTGATTGACACTGTCTGACAAAAAGAACAAGCAGCATATCAGCGTACTCTTCCCATACTTTCCTATTTTATAACTATACAGTACAGACTATACAGTTGTCACTGCAGCCGGTCAAGACATTCTTGTCGACATTTCCGCAAGTTTAACTGGACAAGAAAAATCTATATACAAGAAGGCGTGTCGGGTGGAAACTTTCTGTGAAACCATGCCGGCCGCACGTGACCAAAGTCCTGCCAATCATCAAGGGATGGCGTCAGTGGACTGAAATTCATCCAAACACACTCACCATCCAAAGAACTAAGCAATTTTGGAGTGAACTCCGCGCAGCTCAGCTGCTCTAAGCAGCTAAGCAGGTCCTCTCCGCCGGTTGGACCGTTGCAAACAGGTGGAGTGCCCACGGCCAGGAGGAGCAAGCATCAATGAGGCAGTTGGTGGTGACGGTGTTGGGGAAGACCTGGCGAACATGCGAAGACAAGGACCAGGTCCCGCTGAACAACGAGGCACCGAAGACGGAGGGGTCTTTCGTCTTGACTTCACGGCACCGAACATTGGTGAACATCATCTGACATGCCAATCGTGCACGTCGTTGGCGAGCCAGGGAAGAGCGGTGGATCGCCCGACTTGTCGCTGAGTGGCGGTGAGTCGAACGCGAATCGTCGTGAACAACGGGTGAGTAGAACCGCGAGGCTGCACACACTCCAAAAATGATTGCTTAACCCGAAGGTTACGCGCACCTTTGGGGTGAAGAAGAACTGTTTGTCTTCCACGCGGCGCCGTGAACCGCGGGCCGCACGATGAGCGCACGATGGTGCCGCACGTGGCCTGTCTCTGTTTCATGCACTGCGTGATCTGCAGCCCATCCCTCCAGTCAAGTCCCCTGATCACCGAGTTGAAGCCTCGCACACGGAAGCATCATTCCAAGAAACCAAGGGAAGCAAAGCTGGGCGACCGCGAATGTTCCACCCCATGTCTGCAAAAGGAAACTTAAAACCTTCTGCAACGACTCTGATCCACGTGGGTTACATGCCCAGAAAACACCTGGAAAGCACCCAAAGGTTTCAGGTTTCAGTGTTCGGAAGCACGGACAAGACCAAAAACGAGGAACTCCAGAAACGGTCTCCATTTCAAGGCTTCAAAACTCTGTTCTAATCCAACATCGAATCGCTTTGTAGGTTTATCAGGATGGTGTAGACAGACCCAGTTTGTCTTGAGGATGCGGGCCCTACGTCAACCAGTTGGTGCTCCTCTATTTATTCGACTGACCGATGGTGACCAACCCACCCATACCAACACAGCGCCGCTGGGAGAAACACAAAGGAGAAAAACAACTGGGACTGCGACTACGACCTGCTCAGCCCACCCTGCCCTACCCTACCACTCCACGTCATCCCCAAATCCTGCCCAGTTGCTGATGACATCCGCTTCCACCGAGAAGTTCTTCAGCTCCTCCAGCAACGCCAGCGCCAGCTGCCAACCTCCTGGTCGCATGGCTTTTTCCAAACAACGAACAGAAGAAGCCAGCAGAGTGGAAGCCAGCAGAGTGGAGCCACTTCAAAGACCAAGCAACCGCCTTTCTCCAGAGCACTGATGGCGGCATTGCAGACCTTGGCGGAAGCACACCAAAGGCCAAACGCCTTTAATCCGAGCAGAAGCCTCCAGGGCTCCAGCTTTGCCGGGGTGAATGATGTTGAAAGGAGGGCTTCGCTCACAGCTTTGCTGGTAAGCAAATTTTATGCGATGATATGTGAGGCCTTGGACATCTGTTCAGAGCATCCTCAAAATCAAACTCCCAAAACAGCCCGCACGACCTGTCCCACCAAAAAGCCACGGGCCTGCTCACCAAAAAAGAGCCGCCTTGCCACCATGCTTTCAAGACACCACGGTGTCTGGCAGGGCGCCAGCCCCTTGCAGCATCTGCGCCAGCAATGCGACCGCGGACTGCCATTCACTGGCCTTCCTTTGGTGGAGTTGATGGCTGACAAGGCTGACTATTGATGGTAGCTCTTCCGGGGTGGTCTCAAGAAGCTGAGGAACAAGCCCCAGCTAGTTCTCATCTTCAAAGAAGAACTCTTTTGAAGGCTCCCATGGGCTTCCACAAAAAAAATCCCAACTCGTCAGAGCACTCTGAACCAAGGACTTTGAAGCCAACTACCTCCACCAAAAAGACCTTCAGCCGCAGGATCTCGCACGTGCTCATCACTGCGCTATAGTGAAAGACATTGGCCTCCACCTCCACATCGGATCATATGACGAGGCACGGACCTCCCTGGTCATTCTGGCCAACTGATCATTAACACATGAGCTTCCTTCCTGATTCCTTACTGCAACCATGTTTTTCTGCAAATGAGACGTCTCCATCGTGATCATACTGCGAACCCTGAAGATCTGCTCAGGAATTCTCCATGAGTGACCAGAAGGGTCTCTGACTCTGACGGTGTTCGCCCTCACGAGAGACAAGTCCCCCGCCTGGTGTTCCTGCATCCACCTCAGCCATTGCAAAGCTTCCGGCGCCTTCAATCGGCACAGCACCTGCCAGGGGGGCGTCGGAACAAAAGGGAGATGCCCAACATGCTTCTATCATCCAACGGTCTCACTTCCACAGACGAGGCAACACCACTTATAGTATAGTTCCGACCTTGTTGGTGGTTTCATTTACCACCAAGACCTTGGGTTTCCAACCTTGTTAGTTTGGTTTTCGTTTATCTACTATACCAAGACCTAACCCAAACCACCAAGCACCGCCTTCCATCCTGTTGATCACCCCAACCTTGCGGCCCCTCCGCTGGGAACTCCCCGCACCGCACCGCGCACGGCGCCCCTTTCGCGCGGCGCACGGTTACACCCTTTCGGGCACCGAGGTGGCTTGCCGCGGACCGGTCCGCAGCGCTTCCGCCACCGGGCTGCGAGGCTCCTCCGTTGAAAGCGGTTGAGGCCCTAGTAGAGCAGGAGGGAAGAAATCCAAAGCGTTTTGGTCCAATCTTTTGCATCCGGGGTGGCAGGATGTGGGAGTTGCCAACTCCTCCCTAAGGTTCCAAAGATGGAAAGCTACAGTATCAGGTCCAAGCCATTCCAAGCCCGCCCTTTCTTCAGGACTCCAACTTCCACCAAAATCTACTGACCCCACTAACCTCCCCCAGCTCAGCCCCCCTTTGTTTTCCCCTGTCCTTGGCCATCACGGCTCACCTTCAGCCATCCCCGTCGCCACCGACGTTCGGCGCAGCGCGACCACGCGCGGCGGGACGGCGCGCGGCGGTAGGCGCGGGGCGGTAGGCGCGCACGGCCATTCGGTCGGCGAGGTCCCGCATGGGATGGAAACTGCTGCGGTAGTTCCAGGATTCTTCCTTTTTAGATTCTGCGGTTTGATTGTCCTCCTGCTGGTAAGCACTCTCATTTGACGGATTCGTCACTCAGGGGTGGAAGTGCAAGAAAAGCTGACTGTGAAGGACAAGAGATTTTCATGGTGCAATCTTCAATGCTTCAAAAGAAAGTCCTGCATCTTCGATGTGTCCTTTGCTCACGGTTCTCTGGGGACGTCCTAACTTCCACTCACACAATCCCATCGAACAAGGCAACAAACTTGGCAAATACAACTGGCAAATGGTCTCGGAAAACATATCCGGACTTGAGCGCGGATCCTCCAACCAAACAAGCAGGCGACTGCCGCGGAACGGAGGAGAACATGTGCCAATTGGGACACAGAGTCCACCTGCTTTTTGCCACCTCACCATCGTGACCCTAAGCAAAGTCCTCAATAGAGACTTTCAGTTGGTTGAGTTATTGAGGAAATTGGACCCCTGCAAGCCTTGGGGTACTGGGGTCCCGGGCACCTGCATGATCACTGTGGGTTCTTGAACAGTGACATTGATCGGAAGAGTTGACAGACCTATGCCAGGCAGAGCGGCAAAGCCCTTTTTCTCCACCTCCATTCGCTCATTTCGGTAACAACGTCGCTTGTCAGCAGATCAGGCATCTTATCCACGAGCTTTCTTCCCGGCCTCGCCCGGTGTTTTGGGAAGGCGATGACCAAATCGTCCACATGAATGTGTTTGAAGCTGTTCGTTGCCTATTTTGGGTTAAGTCGATTCTGCCTTCGAGTCTTTGCAGAAAGACTTTTATCCTTGACAGTGCTGAGCTGGACATTCAAAAAGCCGACAACACACCTTTGGACGCCCTTGGCGGCGTCCAAAGCCTGTGTCACGACCACTTCGGGAGCCGCACAAAAAGATTACATAAAAAAGAAAAAGAACCGAATTGGAAGAAAAAATCAAGAACTTGCCAATGGCCATTTCCCCCAACCCTGGACCTTCTGTTCCACACATCCCTCGCACAAAACCCTCATACATCCCTTCAACTTCCCACCCACTCCCACCCCTCCGTGCCTTATCTCCACCACCACCGGCGCGCTTCTCTCCGGGGCCCGCCGACTGGCCGCCCCGGCCCCGGCCACGGCCCTCGCCCTTTCCCCCGCGACCACGGCCACGAGCTTTGAACTGCTGACGGATCTCCTGGCAGATCTGCCACGTTGACAAGGGAATTGGTCCAAACACCCGTTAGTGCATTGAGGGAACAAGCAAGTTCTCCTCAACACAAGCTGCACATCAAGCCATGCTAGAACCAAAAGAGTCACTTCGGATGCCGTAACGCCTTCACCTCGACACAACTACCCCCAAAACAGTTCTTGGAGTCTGGACATGTGAACCCGCCACGACCAGGGCTCGGAGGGGGGGCGTGCCCCGATCCGGATCGGATCGGATCGGCCGGTCCTTGCGAGACTGGGGCTCGTCTTTGACCATGTCAATGACCTGCGGAGATGAAAGCCGCGCAAAAGATGCGCGGCCCAAATGAAGTGCCCAGGTGTTGCAGTGCCCTTGCAGCGCCCAGCCCATGTTAGAGGTGGCGCGCACATTTGGCATGAGGTGAACAGAAGAAGTGGGACAAACAAGTACCCGCCCTTTGGCAGCAAAATGCCCAGGATGGCTACCAGGTACTGCACCGCCAAAGAAACCCAAACACACCATCAAATGTGCGGACCGACCTCTGCCCTTCACCATCCGCATCTCTTTGGCACCGGTTCTCGCCTCATCGGGCAAACGTAGGTATTTGATGCTGTTTCCACGCACGTAGCACTCGGGGATCTTCCAAAAGCGTTCGCCGTCACGGGAGGTGCACACGATATCGCGCATGTGCCTCAGCTTGCTTCTCGCCACGCACGTCGCGCACGGGATCGCAAACGCGTCGCGCGGCCATCGTCTCAGAAAGAAACGTGCACCTGGAATTCCTTTCAACCATCAACCAGACTGGTGCACGTGTCCATCAACCATCAACCATCAACGTGCACCTGTCTTAGTGTTTGGACTGGCTCTCTTGAAGATTGATCCCCAGGAATACCTCATGCCATCCAAGCGACAAGTTCATGAAGCCATCGCAAGAGGCCAACACTCCACTGTAGGTCTCTCCGTTCTTCAGCTCCACCATCCTTTCGGACGAACACACCGGGAGACGCGGGGCAGGTGGACAGGGGGCGAGAACCCTCCGTTGTTTCCGTGGACGAAAGATCTCGTTCCACCCTGGAGGTCCGAGACCATGGACAAAGAATGGTGCTTACCATTTACCCGACAAAAGGGGGGTTTCCTTTACGTCAGTGGTGCGAAAAAATAGTCTTTGGACTCCTAGGGCGCATATGATTGCGGGTGACCTCCACACTTGCCAGGAGCCTGAACCCAACCAACTCCCTACATCAACCGTCAGCACCTTCAGCAAACCAAGGTGCATCGGCTGATTCTGTGCCGTTCGCAGCAGGGACATGGGAAGCACCATGGTTCTTGGATCAACTTTCCGCCCCAAGTCGGGCCTTTGCTTCGTCACCGAAGGCTGCTCGAGCAGCCCTGTTCGGATCTCTGCTCTCCCAAGCCCTTGAGCCCAAAAGGCGCCGCACACGTGCGCGTGAGCTTCGCGCTGAGCGCGAAGGCAAAAGGACACTGACACGAATCCATGTGACCGGAATGCGAGGTGATGCACAGAAAGGTGAACTGAACTAGAAAGATCTGGTGGTACCACCAATTCTGAAATCCACCCATGCCCAAAGATTCGCTACAGTACATCACAGTCAGGCAAAAACCCTCTGCGCATGGAGAAGGGCCAGAAACAACCACCAAAACACCAACTCGAGAACCAGAGCCAAGCCACAAAATCTCAAACCCTTCAAGTCTGACTTCCTTGTGTTCCCACTCCCTCCCTTCAACTCCAAGCTCATCAGCAGCGAATCAACATCCCTCACCGTCCTCGGCTCCGCGCCTGCGCTGCCGAAGGCCTGGATGGCTCGGGTGTAGCTCAGGGCGTCCAGGCGGAGCCCCGTGCGCCGCGCCTGCACCAGCAGGGCGCCCGCCAGGGCCCAGGCCGGTCCGGCCTGGAGGGGCAAAGGGACGGAGAACACGTCAGGTGGACTTAGGTTACTTGGATCATCTTGGAACTGCTTTCAGGGACTCCTTGGCCTGGTGACATGCCAATGAGGGATCATGTGTCTGGCCCTGGCCCTGGCCGTTTTTAAAGGTAAAATGCAGGGTCGAACCCCCCGCAGCATGGAACGTTCCGTTCCGGACTGCTTCGCCTGGCCCATGGCCGCGCTGTAGCTCACGATGTCGGGCTCCAAGGCCTCCAAAGGCCTGGGAGGCGAGGCGAAGTAAGGTCAGCTCTGGACCGCCTCCGTTCGCAGCGAACGAACGGCATCGCTACGAACGGAGCGGTCGGACGCGAGGAACGTCGCTCCTGGCCTTACTAGGAACAAGAGGACTTCGTTCGCCGTTCGGGCCTTTCCCTTTTTTGGAATCTGCGGGTTGCTCTGGGCGGGGCGTTCGATGCAAACCGCAGGACTGATCCAGTCACGGTCGTCACCCGTGAATTCTGGGGGGGGGGACGACAAGTTCGGGCTTTGTGGCTGACAACCTGTCACACGTCAAGTCCTGCCTCCTGGCATCCGTTCGGGCTTCGGGGCATGGAAGGTTTCCATCGATCTGCACAGGATGTCTCCTGAAAAGGATACACTCTAGACTCTACTGCTCAGTAGCCACAGGTGGCCTTTCCACAAATACATTCTGCACAAAAAAGTGGAGCCACAGGACGTGCCAACCAAGTCGAAACTATCCTTTGCTTGAAGAAGTCTTCAGGCCCAGCACTTCTTCACGTCTTCTCCACAGCCACCTTACATCCCACCCAAGATCACCCAAGCAATCCACCACCACCAACCAACCCATGCTTCTTATGTGTCCAAATCGCTTCGGGGACGAGGCGCATCGAGCGCAGCAGCTCCAACACCCTCCGCCAGGCATCGCGTGGAACGGCGCCCAGCAGCGCGTGGAACGCGAGGCGCGGCCTCTCGAGGTCGCCTGCACCGGCGAGGTCCGGCGCGGTCGAGGCATCGACTAGCTGATTCATGGATCCCAATGAGGTGCAGGTGTGTTTCTCTGTAATCCGGTGCTTCCAGACCTTGAGAAAGACTATAATAAAGAGTGACTATATTTTTTTGGGTGGGGAAAGGCAGGACGTTGTTTTGCAAGAACTTTCCAGAAAAAATGTCCTCATCTTCGGACCCCCCCACCCCCACCTCCACCACCTCCAATGCCCAGAGCCCAGCGCCAGGCGCCGCCGCCGGCCGCCGCCGCGCGGCTCGCGGCGTCCGGCTGGAGGGCCCGGTGGCGCCTGAGGCAGCGGTGCACATGGTGACGTGGATGGCCTTAACAAAACATCTACAGTATAATAAGACATCTATGTCTATATGATTCCTCATAGAAAAACTTGAAGTGTTTAAGTGAAGAAAAATCGGGAGTTGGTCATTCACACCGGTATCTGTGGGGTAAAGACATATACATGAAATGACGTGAAATGCGTCTGATCCCAGCAGGTCACGGAGGGTCTTCCAAGCCTTAGAGCCACCAAACCGTCTATGTAGAGTGCTTGCGATTTCTGCAGGGGTCCTCGAGGTTACATGTATTACCCGCCGTTCATGAGGCAAGTGTGGCCCCCCCCGTTCACCACGCAAAAAAAAAAACATCGAAAGTGGGTTTTAGGGTGGGTGGCTGCAGTTTTCAGGCACGGCATCCGTCAAGATCCCCTGACGCCCAGCCACATGTCGACGACCAATCGTAGAATGTCTGGCCACTTGCAAGAGCTCATGGCCGTATTGTGGCCTGAGAACCCGTACTCCAGCTTTGGAAAAGGCTGTAGTTGTACAATGTATGTATGTTAGTCAATCCCAATCCCACAAGATACTTGCGGAAACGGCAGCCCATATAGTTTTGATAGGAGACCCATCCTTGGGAGTATGAGTGATGTGATCCTGCACCGTGGAAGCACCATGGACGTCTCACCAGACTAGCTGACTAGCTGAATGTCTTCGACGGCTGAAGGTCAAGTCTTCGAAACACAAAACGCTTTAAGGCTTATATAGCCGCCACTCTCCCACATCGATCAAGTCATCCAATATGTTATCAAGCCATTCTTGACAGGGATCAGCACCCAGCCTACCTACAACAAAAAAGCAACTAAACATGTCCCCGTCCCCCCAGCACACTTCCTTCTCATACCTGTTAACTAAAAAATAAATGACTAGCCGTGTACCAACTTCCACGACACCACGTAAACTCAGCGGGTCACTTCCACCTACTCAGCGCTGAGGCCAGCGCTGATAGAGACCAGCTGCGTCTTGAGCCGCTGCACTTCCTTGCGTCTCTCGAGACGCGTGCCGGTCTGGGCTCGGGGAAGTGGTCCCTGGCTAGAACGAGGGCCCCAACGTTCGGTCGAACGGAAGAGTCCGAATTTTTGGAACCGTGATGCACCGCTGCTAAGCCATCCTCAAAAATGAAAGCATGTTGAAACGGAGTACTCAGTGGTTGGGGTGACAGTGCCACCAGAAGAATACGAAGGAATTGGCCTCCTTCCCTACGCAGTGGTGGATTGCCACTGCCAGTGCCCAGGGAAAAAGAGTCCTTGCAAGCATTGACTGACTGGTGCTTCGCAAGGAATCAAGGAAATGCACCGCCATCTCGGAGGTCATTCCCTCCTTCGCTAGATTCGGCGCACCAGGTCCGTTGGAAGTCCCACCCTCCGCCGGTCAGCTCGCCCCACCCTCTCCACCCTCTCCCGTCCCTTCGGGCCAAGCCACGTGGAGCCTGCAAACGGGGACTGGGACGACGTGACCGAAGCGGTCAGACCAGCGGTGCTTGGACAGGCGGAGGGTGATGGCAAGCTGACTGTTGATCAATATACAGCCCCCCCTCCCCTTTTTGGAGCGTCAAAACCTCTTCATCTGGAAGAATTGGGGGTGTTGATTCATCAAGATTCAAAAATTGGCTCGGTCAAAAGAAGGCACATCATCGATGTGTTCAAAACCTTGCCATCTGGGAGTCACCTCTTGCCATCACATCGGGATCTGCGGAAAAGGATCCATCGGAACAAGGGCATCGCCACTAGGAGCAAGAAGCTAGTAGCTCCTGGCCTTACTACTAGGAACAAGAGGACGCTACTAGGAACAAGGGAGCTAGCAGTAGCAACGACCGTTTTGCCTCGTTTTGTCTCGTTTTGATAATACGGATACGTTGATCATATCTTTTGAGAAAACCATTTTGGCTCAGCAGGTGGATCCTTGGCGCTGGAACAGACACCCGTTTGTAGACGTTCTCGCGTAGTGTTCCTCCCCCATATGCAGTGATTCTTTGGGTGCTTCGGTCAAAAGGAATTTTGTCCATGAAAAACAAGGTCTTTTGGCTCTTGGGTGAAGACGAGGCAAGAACGAGATCCACTGATGACTGGGCCGCGGCACAAGCGCAGAGCAACCAACCAGCGGCCACGGCAGGCGCCACTGGTGGCGGAGTGCATGGCAGGGCCCGGCTCCTGTCAAAAGAAGAAAAAGCATTGGTATCTTCAGTATTTCAGTGGTGATGGCCCGATGGCGATGGTTGAATTCTTTCCATGAGCATTCCAAAGCCTCCCCCCAAAAAAAAGAATGAGCAACCTGCGATGGGAACTGGGCCTGTTTTGTGTCAAGTGCTAGTGGTATCACAAGATCTATGCACATGTTGTTTGCCAAGGGGCTCACGCAATCTTTCAGCTTCCTTGTCGAGGACCGTTTCCAGCATACTGATCAACGTGCTTGATGACAAATAGCTTTGATATATCAAGACTCAAGACGCTAGCAACATCCTTGGCCCCATGCAAGTCTTGGCGACCGTTGGGCGACGTCGCGACCGCTGCGACCGCTGCGACCGCGGTCCAGGCTTTTCTGCTTGGCCGCGACCAGCAGATGCAGAGCACTGCCCTTAGAAGACCGGTTTGCTAAACGTCGGGAATGTCTTCCCTTTAAGACCAGGAATTGTATCCCTGGGCCGCTAAGGATTGCATACACATGCAGCGGACCACCTTTGAATCACACCCTTTTCATTGCGCTGTTGACAACCTGAGGTATGTCTCTCTTTGAGGGCGGCACATGGAAGGAAACATCTCACAACATCCAAGAAATCTAGACGACCAGTAGGTCGTTGAGCGCCGAGGCTCCCAAAGCTGATGCCTTGCACATGCTTTGAAATCCTCAGGTGTGGCCCGCTGAGAGTTTCAAACCTTGTTTGGGAGTGGTGGTCAGAAGTCAGAAGCGTTTGAGTACAGAAGGTTGGCTGAAGGAAGTGAACTACATCTTGAAACTCCAAGGAAGTTAGGAGACACTTCATGACCAAACTGGAAACTAGAAATGAAGGATCTAAAGGTCTGAACAATCTTTCTGGACTTGGCCTGTCAGACAACGGACCTCACCAAGCAAGGTGTTTGATGCCAAACAACGGACCCAAAAGCCCAAAACAGCTGAATACACAAGAGAAGAACAGCTACACATCTCACATCTTCTGTCCGTTGTGTGGGGGGGTGTCCCTGAAAATCAACGAAGAGTGTTCAGCAATACAATTGCACATCGCCTCCCTGCTCAGAACTCCTTCGTCGCCGTGCAGATCCGATCCTTTTCCACCCAGCGACTGGACCGCTTCCGCTTCGCCTGGGCGCACGTGACGCGACGGCAGCAGATCCAAGCGGGCAGGGAGGTGGAAAACGCTGTCCAAGCGGTAGCGGTGGCTGCAGGGAGAGGGTGAACATGGCACCTGATGGCATGGACCAGACTGGAGATGGTGATGTTCCTTTACCAGTGACCAGTGGTTTTTGAGGGTTGTAGCTGTGGGTCTCTTCCGTGTAGCTGCCGGGAGCTGTTGATTGCTTCTGGGAGCTGGCGGGAGCTGTTGGTTTGTGCCACTTCTTCTCTTCCTTCGGACGGAGAGGACTTCTACGCGAGGGTGGTGATGAACAGCAGGTGGGGTTGTGACGGTTCAGCATAGAACTTGGCCTAAGATACTTTGGGGCTGGACTCTGGGTGGGAGCAGGATCCACCACGAGTGGCCTTGCTAAGTCTGAGGAAGCCACTTAGAAGTAACACATACACATTCCCCAGGCCTTCACAATCCAACACACCGATTCCGCCCCTCGCCCAAAGCTTCGAGTGGCTGGATGGGCATCCGCACTCTCCATGCCGAGAAAAGCGGGCGTCTTGGGGGGACCAACCGACCAACCACGTCACTGGGCGAGGAGGTCTAACTCCCCCGAACGGTGCGGAAGGTGAGCCGAAGCCGTTCGCTTGGCACCAGCTTGTACAGACTGAGTGAATGGCAGTGAATGGTTAGATGCTGTTGTACTGTGCTGCTAGCAAGCACTGAGTGAATGGTCTGTTCGCCTGATTCATCTGTATCCTTTTACTTGCCCACGACGTTCTTTCCTGTGATCTGCCGGCACATGAGCTAAACCTATGACATGGCTGACGGCCAAAACATGTCACTGGTGGATCCCCACCACGGGCGGGTTACTGCTGTCACTGGTGGATCCCCACATGACTAAGGAAACAAATACAACTGAGAACACGAAGAAGGCGTCTCAAGCTGAACAGACTCGCAGGTTGGCCATCTCATTGACAGCGTACAAAAGAGCATTTCCCCAAGTGCCTTGTGCAACTAGCAACTTGTAGATATCTAGTGCATGTCAGTGACTCTGCCAGCGGCGTGCGCTAACCGCTAACCAACACTGTACATAAGCTCTCCCTCTCTTTCTCTCCTCTCTCTCTCTCTCCGCAGGGACTCTTTTCTGAGGCACTGCCACCCCAACTCCTGCAAACCCCATCAGGCCCGACAGCGCCAGCCCGTTCGGGCCAGCTCCAGCCGCGCCGGCCGAAGCGCCGCAGAAGCCGCCGGAACTCCTTCGGATCGTTGGTCCGACTTTCCGTGGCTGCGAGTGGAAGGCCAATTTGCGTCCTTGGTGCTAAGTAGGGAGACCCTTTGCTCCTAGTATCTCCTAGTAGCTTCTTGCTCCTGGTAGTAAGGCCAGGAGCCCCGTTCGTAGCGTCCTCGCTCCTAGTTGAAAAGGTGATCCATGGTGCATCTCACCCACCGTCATCCATTGGTTTTAAGTCGACGGACCGGCGAGGTTCCAAACGGAGGTCGTCACTGCTACGTGAGGGTCCCTGCCAGGATGCATGTCTCCGGTCTGGTGACCCCCTGGACCCCTGTGATGCGCCAAGCCACCGGTGTGTAAAGCCGCTCCAGCAACACCAAAGCGGCCAGGTCTTCATCTGACAGGTCGCACACATCCACGCGCTTCGCACTGCCTGAGCAGCTCTGCACACATGGGCCCGGGCTGTTTGGTTTGGTTTGGTCTGTGTGGACTACTTGCTTTTTTGGTGGCGAGGGGGTGAGTCAGTCCACGGCATTCCAGCACGTTGTGGTCCAGGATGCAGGCAACAGTGCGAATCTGGATGATGTTCTTGAACCAACTGTCCATGTCCGCACACGTTCCCCACCATTCTGGTCCCACAACGGGCAACCCGCCCCAGCATACCTTCACCGGTCCACACATCGCCGTTGACCTCGGGACCGCCCGACTCGGCTCTCGACCCCTCTCCTTGGTTCTCATGTGGCAAAGGCCCATGAGGTCGGTGACGGCTGCCCACTGCCAACAGCAGCTGGGCCATCTCCTCCTCAGTCTGCTTCAGAAAGCTGACGGTGTGTCACCCAGCAGGTGAGGCAGCGAAAAGGTGCCCAAAACGAGACGTCCCTTTCTTCCACTCAGGCACCCAGTTAGGTGGAAAACATGTGGGATCCACAGAGACATCGACAGAACAAATGGATGACTTGTGACAACGGACAACCGGAGGAGCGGAACGGTTCTCTCAACCGTGACTAAGCTGTCCACTCATTACAGCGCTGCCAAGCAGTTTCATTCAAAGTTGGGTCCCGTTGAGGCCCTGGCAGGCTCCGAAAGCCTCAGTCGCGGCGTCGACTCTTGGGGCTTCGACAGATCCTGGTGCCTCCCTTTCTCCGGCGCTGCGGCGGAACGCGGGGCGCTTCCTTTTTGGAGGTCTCGGCTCACAACTCGCGGCTCCGACGCGGATCCCAATTCAAGCGATGGCCCTTCCGCTCATCGCCGCCCGTGGCTTGGTTCTCCTGGATCATGGGACAGTCGTACTGAGCGAACTCCGCAGCGTTCCCATCGCCCAACTCCTGCAGACAAACGGCGGACATGCATGCTACGCGGTGATCTATTTAGCTCGACACAAACTCCACAGACCCGCCAGGTGGGGGTTGATGTCCCAAACCCTCCCCCCTCCACAGAAACGAACGCCCCGAACCCCCCCAAACGCTGACCGGCTGACCGTCCTCCCACTGCCAGGTCAACATTTCACACATCCTCGGCGTGTGCAGTACAACACACTGACCTGGCACCCGCCGGAGTGGTTGCAACGACCCACACCATGCGGGGCAAAACTGGGAACTTGGCGCAGACGGCGACGAAAAAAGGCAGCGACTTCAAGTGATCTAGCCCGAGTTCCACCACAAAAGTGTCCGCATGACCGAGCCAGCACCAATCCTCATCCCGTGTGGGGGTGATGAACCGGAGGTTCTAAGTGATGACCAGCATCTGGCAGCCGGTGCCAACAAAAAGAATTGATCCGTTTGCATCACAAGGAAAAAGGGAGTGACCACCCACATCATCAACCCATATCACCCCAAAAAGCATCAACCCATATCACCAACCACATCCCACCAACCCCCCCCCAGTCATAAACGGATCTGCTTCGGGCGTCAGCTTCGGCATGGCCTTCGGCCATTCACCGCACTTCGCCGGCGCGGTGGCCCGGACCAGGTCGCCGCACGACGCGGTCGCCGCGTCCAGCAGCCTCGGCACCGGGGCGGTCGACTGAAAGCCTCATCAACGGTGAGGATGTGGCGATGTAGGAAGAACGGTATTTACGCTTTAGGGTTGAGTTGATATACAGTAACTTGGAACCCCTCGCAGCTCGCGAACTCTCACAAAGCCTGAAGAGGCACCCAGAAGAGCCAGCAAATCCCCATCAGCCCACACACCAGTGTTGCTCGAGGCACTTCTCCCGGATGTTCATGAGCCCCTGCAGGGACAGCTCCTCCCCCGCGGCTTTGATCTCCGCGCCGATGGTCTTCACCTCCATTCGCCCGAAGGCTTCACCGGCGATCGGCGCGGATCGGCGGCCGCGTTCGCGCGTGGTGACCGGGTGCCGAGGGGCGCAGGTCGTGTCGGACTCGTTGGGGCTACAAGGCACGTAGGGCTCGGGGCAACCTCACAAGAAAGGGGGGCTTGGGGGGCACGAAGGTCAATGGTTTGGAGGTTGGGAGGTTCAACCCAAACAGTTCAACCAAACAGTTCAAGTGCACGTCCATCTTCTCTAAACAACTCTTCAGCTCAATCGCTTGTGCGTTTGGGACAGCGCCACTCAACGCACCGGGCGCCATCCCTCGACGGCCGAGGCGCAGCACATCCACAGGTTCTCCTCCGCGGCGGGCGCCACGAGCTCGGGGGCCTCGCCCTCGCAGACCTTCTCCAGCTGATCCAAGATGCAGCCGGACGCCTCACCCAAAGAGAGAGAGAGGGGCACTCGGTCGGTATGGCAGGTCGGTATGGAGTGCATGAAGCTCCGCTGACAGACTGGGACCCGGAAGGCTTCGGTGCAAGGAGCTCCGAGCAAAAAGAAAGAGAGAGAGAGAGAGAGAGAGTGTGTGAAGCGAATTGAAGCGAAGTGTCTTGGGAACGGCCCACTTGCTATATACAAGGAGGGGAAAGTGCTGGCTGGGCGAAGGTTTTTGGGCCAATGGATAGTATGGAAAGTGGAGTCTTTTGCTGCGAAGCTGAGGCCACTTGCTTGTGAGGTGCTACTGAACTGTCTATGACGCTGCTTCGGCATCGGTGTCATAAGTTACGGCATGTCACCTGTCCATAGCCAGTATGCCAATCTTTCCCCTCTCCATCACCACCTCCCTGTCACCTCTTCACCACGTTCCAACCTCCCCCGCCGACCGCTTTCCTCCCGCGCCTGGTAGTAGGGACACTGCCGGCGATCGGCGGCCACACGGACCACCGTGGCCAGCAGCGACCAGCGCCGCATGGCGAGGCGAGCGCTCGCGGTCGGTGGCCGTTGGAGTCGGGGCTGGAGCGCGGGGGACAGCTGAAGGGCCAGTCGGACGGCGGAGGCCAGTCGGATCCCTGATGTGTTCGAACCCGGGTGACGAGCACTCACTATCAGGCCTCCTTCGAGGGGGGAACTGGATGTTGGATCCAGTTAGCCCCTGCGGCAAACCTTCAGCACATCGAAAGAAACACAGGTTCCGGAGAAATACGTCCACTGCCCCGCTTGCCATCTACATTCCAGGATCATTCGTTTCGAGGACTGTCTGACCAATACGTCCACTCCAAACCGATGTGTAGCCGCCCAGGAGCAAATCAAAGGGCTGCATGTGTAGGCGCTCCCAGCCAACTGCTCTTGCCATGTCTCGCATCAGCAAGGTGTAGTTCCCTTTCCTGAGACAAAAATTGCCCAAATCCGGCAGCAACTGGGTGTGTTAGCAACTAGGTGTACTAGCCACGGGGGTCATCCATGGTGTGACTCAAGAAATCAATGGACAACCCCACAAGCCCCTTCCGCCGCTCAGGACTTTCTTCCTTCTCCCCAAGCGCCAGGCGTCTACAAGCGCAGCCCGAAGGGGTCCGGATCGCCTTCCTCCCCTTCCACTAGCGCCAACAAGCTCCTTCCACCCGGGTGCTCCGGGCTCAAGCGGTTGAAGGTCGACACCACCTGATCAGCGGCGGCCCTTGGGGCATCCAGCATTGGAAGGATAAAAAGGTGGCTATAGGCGGCCATGCATCACGAGTGGCATCAAATCCCAAGAAGAAGCAGATGTAGGAAGTGAAGGAATACAGCTTGCGTAACTATGCCGCCCTTCTCTGTAGTGTGAAGGTTTCTCTACGCACGGGTCACCAAGAGTCCATGCCAGGCGTTCCTTCACCTTTGCTGTTCCGTGCATGCGTGTTAGGATCACCACCTGCAGCCTCTTCTGACCATCTCCCCATCTCCCCCGAAAAGCTTGCGAGAAGAAGCCGTCCCCAACGAGAGCGGGGGGGGCGCCATTGAGGGCCGGAGTTCTGCCCCCCCCGGTCCGTTTTCAACCAAAAGAAAACCACGCACTCTGGGCACGTTGCACCACCGCCCCCCCCCGAGGCGTCGGCGCTGGACGGCTGGACGCTTCGACGCTTGGCTTCCCAGTCGCATAGCGGATGGGATCGCGGAAGCAGAGGATCACCTGGGGCGCAGCGTCGCGGGGGGAGGGGTTCTGGTGGAGGTCGGTCCCAGCATGGGGGGCGGGGCACGGCCGTGCCAATTCCAGGTGGGTGGATTTCGATGGAACTGAGCTGCTGTGAAGATGGCCCTCTCTTTCGCTCGCAGGCCTAGGCTCTAGGTGTATGACCTCTACTGAAGGTTCAACCAGTTCTTGTTGAGGCGTTCAAGTGAACGTCACACCCGCGCCCCCAAGGATTTTGATCTTCCGCCGATCCCCAGTTCGGAAAAAGAAATATAGCCAGTGTTGTAACTACGACGGGTGTAGGCCTCTCAATGGATTTAACTGCACGCCCCCATCCCTGGCTGACACCAGCCAACCTCGAGTCGTCACAAGGGATGAAATGAAACGATTCAACCAGGGGCTTTGGGTCAAAGGTCTGCACTTACAAATTCAATGAGCAAAGAAAGTCAAGGAACATACCGACCCAGCTGTTGGAGTTGCCTTCTGGTCCGCCAACGTCCCACATCCTCACCTCCCCCCCGTCGCCGCTGGCCGAGCCGCCCGAGCAGAAGCTTTGTCCGCCAGCAGCGCCTGGATCTTCCGCACCGCGATGGGGTGCGTCGCATAGCGCGAGTCCCAGACGCCTCTGGGACGGAGGGAGCTTTGAGGTGCATGGAGGTGTGGCATGTATTCCGGCTCGGTACCAAGGCCGGAGGAGCGTGTTCGATAACTCCGCGTGCTTTTGGGTGCACAACCCACCGACCATCCACCCACCGCAAGGGATTCAGAACCCCCTCTCTGGCAACGAAGCCAGCAACCCCGTCCCCAAGGCCCCGGCCGATGCGTTTCTGCCACCCGCAACGTGAGGCTTGCTGGTTGAAGCGTTCCACAGTCTCGGCCGCGGGCCAAAAGGCAAAGCTCATGAAGGCGGGCCTAGGCACGCGTCAGAGGTGCAAACTTTGGCCAAAACCATGTTGACTGTTGATGCCCCCCCACCAAAAAAAATACCTGGATGGTCAAACATATCCATCAATCTGGAGTTTTAGCCATCATCAACGAGTCAGAATTATGATCATTTCAGGTCGTTTGTGGATTCTCCGTCTTTGAATTGGATTTCGCTGCAAAATCCCTTCAAAGGTTCCATTCCCTGCAGAAAGACATGGCCATCACAAAAACTGCCTGGAATCTTTCCAGTAGCCGATGATTCGTTAAAGTGAGGAGGGTTCAGGGGAGGGTGTGTTGGTCAGGTGTGGTGCATAACAGTACCGAACAACTCGCATGACTCTTTCGAGGCAAATATATATATATATATGGCTTATACAACAGGATGCTGGATATCCAGTATTGAATAAACCCTCACCAATTGAATTGGAAAAACCTCTTCAAGCTTGGGGGTCGAAATATCATCGAGAGTTTACATGAAAGTCGGTCCATCTGACTACCCCCAAGGCACCAGTAACTGACCAGCGTCTCGCATTCCGGCACCGGCAAGTCACGCGGACGAGTGAAGTCACGCGCCCAATCCTCAGCCGCTCGGCTTGGATTGGATCCTCTTCATCCAACAACCTACTTCAGCTTGCAAAGAACCCCATGGAACCCTCTCAAACCACATCCAACAGTCTCTCCATCCACTCTATTTGCCGAAACTTCGGCTTGCCAAATTGAAGTCTTCAGCACGAGCATGGCATTTCATCATGGGACTGCCATTGGCCACCACCAGAACTTGAGGAATACCTGCAAGTCCCTGGGAAGAAAACGGGATCCAATTCACGGGATCCACCTCCAAGCCTCCAAGCACCGCAGCCGTAGTGCTTCAGGGAACGCCGCTCGTCCGTTCGCTGCGCTGCGGAGGAACGACGGGAAAAGGCTCGAGGTTGGGTCGCTGTAAGAAAAAGCCACTGATCTCACAGAAAGCTGTAGTCAGAAGTGAGGGTTCAAGCTTTTTGTGCCATGAATGACATGATGTTGGGAATGATGTTTGGGATGTTTTGTTCTGCAGTTGAACAGTTGAAGGTGGTCTAACATGATCCGATCATCTGTGGTGATTCGTGGCTCAAAGGCCATGTCACCTATTCGCCTGGCTCAGATCTTTTGGAAACTGTCTCCAAGGCTTAAGAGGCCGAAATGGAAAGTTGACTGCACTATACTGCGCTGATATGATTTGGACTGCGGTCCAACCTGCCGTCTGGGCCCCCCCTGGCCACTGGATCGCCCCCACAAGCCAGTGTCATGCGCAAGTGAACTTCGCATCTGACATTCCAGGCTTATCGGAAATGGAATCACTCCACAGCGCTCCCGGAAAGGGTGACCCTTGACAATCCACCCGCAGCAGGGTCATGGTTTTTCTCTAAGCAGCTCTTTCCCCTAAGGCCCAGAGAGGCCCTCAGGCCATGTACTCTTGCAGGTCGGAAACACATCATTGAGAGTGGGAAGGACTCAAACTCCAACCCTCAGCCCTGAAAACGCGGGGCCAATTCTCAAGCAAGCCTCTGAAAACTCAAAGGGCATCATGTAGATATCCTGGCCGGGGTGAGCCGCAATATGCCGCGAAGGTCACAGGTCACACTCAGTTGGACGCTTCTCATGGCGTAGTTCGCAAAGCTGACGAAGTCCTGTCCTACAGGATCTATGACCTATATGTGAGTTGATGTCGACCCCTCCTTAACCCCGAAAGACCAATCCACAAAAAAATACACCAAACGAACAGGTTGGCTTTCTTGGGGCACGGCCACTTCCACACATGCAAGCCAAATCAGTCGTTCCCCACCGCCCCTGACTGGCCGGGATGGTCTGCAGGTGATGAACTAAGCTGGTGGTGCCGCCGCTCTCGAAGCCCGCCACCACGAAGTCCGCCTTCCTTCGCCGCGGACCGAGGCGTCGAGTCGTCGTGCTTCTTCGGTTCGGGCGGCGACGGTGAGGGCGGGAACACATGCACGGGGCGCAAGAATCGAATCCCAGACAAGCTCAAACTTGGCCTCACATGGAGCCTCACGTCTTGGGAAGACGAAGCATGTGGTGCATTGGGCAAGGCCAACAAATCTGGACATTCCTGGATCTTCGTTCGAGCCACACCCCAAACAGCTCCCAAGCGTCATCTCCTTCCAGTGGGCCAATCGACCGATGATCATCTCGGCCTGATCACAGGAACCCATGATTCAAAAGAAACTGGAGGCCACGGTTACGGTGGAGCCCGACTAAGCTAACAGCTAGCAGCTAGCAGCGCAGGAGTGTAGGCATGGCACCCCCAAGGCTGAATGAAACTGCACCCTGACCTCATCACTTCAGGCAAACAATTCTTCTCCAGTTGTGGGGGGGTTCCGCATGCGTCTTTTCGCGCCTGCTGATCAGCCGGAATCTCCACGCCCATGGCGGCTAGGAAGGCCGGAAGCGCGAGGGCTCGCACCAGGTCCTCCTGTCAGGCCCGCTTGGAAACCGACCAGAAGAGCCGAAGCGGCCCCCCAAGCTGTATCCAAAACCCGGGAGAACGGACGCACGCGAAACAGCGCGGCAATGAACGAAACTCGCCAAAACTTGCGAGTTAAGGAAAGAACATGATAGAAGGCAGGAAAGCGAAATCAAAAAGACATGGAGACAAAAAAGGCATCCTTTTGGTATTGCAAGGAGTGAACAATGAGACGAGCTTGGAAACTGTTCGATTGCCGGCGGCAAGTGCGCGGGGCTCTTTCATGAAATCCCAACTGTTGCAGTCTGGTGCGTATGTCGAAGCCAAAGCCACGCTGGCACAGCAAAACATCCACAGCCGAGCTGCTGCATCGCAGGCTTGCACCACACAAAGCAGTGCATGGCCGAAGCGATAGGGGACGAAGCCCAGGGCTTGACAGCCCAAAAGCCTCAGAGTGGCCCAGGTTCAATGCACTGATGCGAAAATCCTACTATTCACCACAGTTTTTCACTTTGACAGATCTCCAGTCAGCCCGAGGGACCAGATTTGCATAGATTTGCGGAGCGACACTAGCTCGCAAAAGAATTGCTCAAGCAACAAAAAATCCCCTGACACCGTCTCCTCCTCCTAAATTGTTCAGCCCATCAACTCGCAGTCTGACGATTCCTTCACCAGGACTTTGGTCCAACGAAGCATCTGACAAATTCATCCCCACAACCCAACCACGGTGGCACGTGCTTCCGCGCGGGTCTCTATGGTCTCTCTCCACCGGGCAACTGCTGCTCGGAGACCTCAAACATCTGCAGGAGCTCCTGCTGATGCCATGAGGGGCGAGCCAAGACCGGAGCACCCGAGTACGCCAAGGCCACGGCCTCACGGAGACGGCCGCGAAACGGCGTCCGGAGACGGCCCGCGAGCGGTGAACGAGAGGGATGGGATTCGGTGAGCGGTCGGATGGGAGAAAAGGTTGTTTGTGGAATCCATTTCCAATAGAATCTTACTTACTACTAGTAAGGCACCTGTTACTAGTAGCGTCGCACCTGTTAATATTGCGAAGTGATGGACTAATAGAATTCATCTGAGGCTGGTCTGGGCATCAAGTTGGTGCCTGGAAGTGGGCCAAGATGGTCGACGCGTCACGTTCGTCCAGCCCCATGTTTCCGCCACGTGCATCGGTCGACAGAGCACCGACATGGTGAGCATTGTGAGTCGATTGTGTTGAGCAAACAAAGCCAAACCCAAACCGTGGTTCCCAAGGCCTTCTTGACCAGGCACCGCGACAACATATCTTAGGGAGTTCCACTCCACATCTCCACATCTCCACATCTCCATCGAAACGTTGAGCAGCGTCCCCAGTATTGAACCTCGATCTGGGGTGCCTACGGTTCCAGTGACTCCAGTGACTCGCGTGCTGTGCACGACCCACACGCCGCACTTGACCGTGACAACCTCCCAAGCTGCCAAGCCCTCTTCCAGAGCTGCGCGGCATGCGGTTTCGCCCTCGGCGTGAGCAGCGAGTGCGAAGGAGGAAGTCCTCAGTCAAATCCAGAAACAAAGGTTGGCCGGTGGTGGGCTTTCTGGAGTTTACAGTGAGCCTGACTGAAAAACTACGAGGCTTTCCGATGTCACGTGCTTCCCTCACATCAAACGACTTAGTGCTGCATGGCAATAGCCTGCAGCCCGACCCAGTCTCAAATGCAAATTTCCGTTGTAAGATGCTGGTAGGATATCTGAGATGTCCTTTTCCTGCGTGCAGCTACGAAGCACTCCGGCCAGCAGAGCTGCGAGAACACGTCTTCCCGGCGACATGCAAGTCTGCCGACCCCGGGGTCCGGCCCCACGGGGCCGGCGACCAATGGCATGGGGTCGTGGAGTACATCAAACACCAACAGTTTGACCCTACACTGTTGTTGTGACCTCTCTGCGCCCGTCACAACACCACAGCGTCAGGGAAAAGCGTGGTTTCATCCATGGTTTCATCTCTTCAGGGTCCAGGATCCATGTGAAGGGACACCTTTTTGAAAACACCCAGCCATACAGCACCCTGCCAAAATGAAAATTACCTTTCAATGTTCCTGCTAGCTTGAAATGTTTAATGTTTGAGCTCGAAGGTTTTTCGTAGACCGCTTGCGTTGGTCCGGTTTCAACCACGTCACACAAGCTGAAAGCAAGTTGGCACAATCGTGACAAAGTGAATGAAGGATAAACCGGTCAAAAAGCGCTGCCGAACATTCCCACAGTTTTCTTGCTGCCAACCGCCGGTTCGGTCCTTGTCTATTAGTCGCTGGCTGTGCCAGTTCAAAACATGCAGTGCAAGTTGCCACTGAGTTCCCTTCTCACATGCCCCTGCTGCCGTCCCAAGGGTGATGATATCTGGCTGAACCGACGCCCGCGGCAGCTGATGGAAACACAGGAGGGCCAATTGCCACAAAGAAGCCAACGATTGCGAACTCATACACGAGTTGAAACTCACAATCGTTGGCCGCAGTCTCAAATCACTCATTTCTTGAAACAACGCCAAAGCTTGCTGCCATGCGCTCCCATTCTCACAGCTGGCAATGCAGGTGTTGTAGCAAACCACATCTGGCGTTGATGTCTGCTTCAATAACTCCATTGCCACTTGCCATTGGGAAACTGCACCGCAAGCTGCCATCACTGAAGTGAAACTTACGACATCTGTTTTCCAGGTATTCCTTGCACATGAGGTTTCGAGCAACAATGCTAAAGCCCTCTGCCACTGATGGGCGCTGCCGATGGCATTCAAGCTGGCATTGAAAGAAATTAAGTCACGTTCCACTCGAAGTTCATCCATCTCCAACAACAAACTCAAGGCCATCTGCCACGACAAACCTTTCTTGCAGGCAGTGAAGCTGGTTGCGAAGATCATCGCATCGACGGATGACAGGTTGGAGTGCCTTTAGGGCTTGCCACTTCCAAGTTGCCACAAAACAACCTGCACTACCCACGGGCCCTACAGGTCCCGTAGCTTGAAAATGTCAGCCTCCCAGCAAATGAGTGTGACTATTGAAGGTGCCCCTATTTTTATCCGGGATGTCGACTGAAATCACTGAAAACACCATCAGTAATGTCCCGGCCGGATGCAGTAATGTCTGCAACAACATTTGTTGGGTTCATCTGGTTGGCCCAGTTTTGCCCAGCAGCTTTAAGCTCAGCGCAGCTTCCCAACGCCCCTTCCGCACTTCCGCCGCCATCGCGACGCCGAGCTCGGCTCGCGCACGGCGGCGCGCGTACGCGAAGGAGCTGCCCTCAACCAAGCGCCTGGCGTCATGGATGGGGGCAAACACGATGTGGCAAGAATGGCTACACAAGTGTCCCCCAAACAAATTAAAGAATGTCATCACTGCTTCAAACTATATTGTTTTGGAGTCGCTCAGTCTTCCTTCATCGTGATATGGAGTTTGGCACGGTTCAAGGTTCATGGTTTTGGTGGCCACCTGCGTCACTAACACTAGACCTCTTCGAATCGCAAAACAATGCTTACACATCTGCATCTTCCTTCCGGGCCTGCTTCGCCACTTCGATGCCATTGACAAATACCAATGGAAGCACGCAGGAGGGTTGCCATCATCCCATTTTGTTTACCTCCTTGCCATTCATCGACTGTGTTTTTCTTGAATTCTATTTTAGAAACCCTTCCGTGTTCACCGGGCCTTGCTGCGGAATGGCATGCGGCACGGCAAGCAAGTGGTCACAACATAACTACATCAAAAACGCATTTGTGAAACCTGGCCCAAAAGCAGCGCTTTTGGAACAAACAACCCATTACCAGAAAAAGGGGTGGACTTCGTGAGTTGTGGGGGCTGTTCAAACGGCGGTGGTGCCACAGTTGGGTCTTTAAGGCGCAGACCTGTACGGGGCTGCAATCTCAGAGGCGCAGTGGCAAAAGAATGGTTGAAATTAGGTCGTAGACGCGTCACGCTGCCCTCACGGACACGTAAAATCCACAATCCTGACAGGGATGAAAACACTCACTTGGGAACCAAACCTCTTCTGCACCAATGACGGGGCTGGGACCATGACTGCAACATGAAACCATGACCAGTTTGAAAAGACATGTGCCTGATATATATATTTTTGGTTGTTCCTTTTTTCTCGCCTTACCACAGTCACATATCCCAACGCGAAATTTAAACGTTAGGCCGTTTCCAGTTGGTGCATATCCCGCTTCCATGGGTAGGAGAACGTGTCCACTTGGGGTCAGCTTTCTGGCATTGGCACATTTTCGTGCCAACAATCACGGAAACGACGCAAACAGTTCCGGTGCCGGTGGTATCTTCTTGGCTGCCTTCGGCCACGTGGATTGTTGGCGCCGCTTGTTGCGCATTGCACCATCTAGTGGGAGCTATTGGAGTTTAACCTCAAGGCGTGTGCAGTTTGGGGCCTGCATGCTGGTGCCGCTGTGGGGTGCCGCTGCCACATACCAAGCGATTAATATTTCAGGCCCACCACAACCAGGTCCATGTTGATCCCCGACTGAATGCGATACCCTGAGAAACGTACCCCATTGCATCGTTTCAAGAGTTGGACCACTTGTGTTTACAGTTTACACTTGTACGGTTAATTTGAACCCAATATACGCAGCCCCTTTCAGCGTTCGAGAAAAAGACCTCGAGCGCTTCGCATGGTAGCGGAGCTGGTTCTTTCTCCCCAGGGCCAGCTTCGCGCGCGTGTAATAACGCGTTCTTCGCGGCGGGTGACACCGCTTGTGACCACGCCTGGGACAACTTCTTCAAAATCTTCTAGGACGAGATCAGCACGAGCAGTTGAAAATCGTTTGTTGAGAGGAATTGCCAGATGGTGGGAAAGAGACTTGCAAAGACAGAAGCGAGAAGAAGAAGACAACCAAGAGGTGGAACAAGAAATTCCTGCATTTGGTCAGTCCGCAGCTGCTTGTGATAGTGAACGCTCAGCAAGCCACACTACTAGCAGTGAACCGGTGGATTACAGTGCTTTCTTGGCACCTGCTGTACGTTTGTCTTGCCCTTTGGAAGGTGAAATCGGTGGAGTATATCGCCGTGTGTGGAACAACCTTCAGCGGGAGACACGTGCAGAAGCCAGGCGAGCAGTAACAGAATCCTGGAGTGCCCGCAAAGGCCCAGTCCGAGCTGAAAGTGATCAAGCGAAAGTAGTACCAAAAGTGGAAGTTGAGGGGTTTGAGCCTGAGCCGAAGAACCCGAACCAGAGTGAAAGAAGAGTTAGATGAGAACACTGCGAAGGCAGAGATCAACTGAGCCCAAAGCGGCGTCGGTATCAACGCGCTGGGTGATACCGCCTGATTGCCGACTTTGAGGTAGTTTGCCCGTAGACTCCGTTCGCACAGTGTCTTGTAGGTTTTTTGCTGAGCCCAATTGGAGTTTACAAGTCAGAACTGCTGCAAGTCACCTGCGTGGTTGTTTTCGTCCTTTTGTTCTTCCTTTCGAAGTAATGGAACGAACAGTTGAGATCACAACAAACAACGCCGAATGCTGCAAAGAGCACAAACGGCGTTTGAACAGCAAAGTGTAGCCTTGACAGAGACACGCAATGAGTTGGGCAGGGTAAGAGCCGAACAACCGTTGTTTGATGGTAAACGTGAAAGTTGGGAGCGGTGGAAGTACATTTTCCTTGCGTGGGCTTCCACTGTGAATACTGCGTATTCCGCACCGTTGGAAAAAGCAGAGCAATCAGCAACACCGATAGAGCACGATGAACTGTCCGACAGTGAAGTGCGATTGAGCCGACCCTTTTTGACCATTTTGATGGGTTATGCGCCTGATTGTGTCATGGGAATGGCGCAGCATGCCCCTGAAAGAAATGGATTGGAAATGTGGCGTAGGTTGGTGAAAACAAATGAACCCGCTCACAAGTCGAAAGCCTGGGTGTGGCGCAAGCACTTGACAAACCTAAATTTCCCAACAGACCTTGCGAAATGGAGTGAAGCGTTTTATCAGTGGGAATCTGAAATTCGCGAATTCGAACGGCAATTCAAAAAGAAAATTGACGAAGATGAAAGGTTGTCGGTTCTTGTTCATGTTGCACCAAAAGAGCTTCAACAGTCCATTTTCATGCATGCTGACTCACTTGATTCCTACATGAAAGTCCGCACGTACATAGAGCGGTACCTGAGTGCGCGCAACTCCTCAAGGAGTGCAATTCGGCGTAACAAATGCGGCAAGACCCAAAGAGGGCTCAGGAGTGGCCCCCATGGACATAGGCGGAGTCAATGACAAAGGCAAGGGAGGCAAAGGCAAGAAAGGCAAAACGAAAACCGAAAAAGGGGATCCAGCAAAAGGGTCTTGGAACCAACAATCGTGGACACCGACTTGGAAAGGTTCAAGCCAGCAACAAGGCAACCCCAAGGGAGGGAGTAGCAACAAAGGTGAGAAAGGCAAACAGGCAAGTGCAGGAAAACAATGTCACATTTGCAAGAAGTATGGACACATAGCTGCAGAATGCCATTGGAAGGTCTCCGAGGTCCGTGAGGAACCAGAATCAAGCCCGAGCGCCGACAAGGTTTCGATAGGTTCCGTCCGCGAGCGCGGTAGCGACACGCATACACATGTGCATCACACAAATGAACACAACATGATCATGACAGTGCGAGATTCCATTTCAGTTGTGCGTCCCTACCACAGCGATGAGTTTGTTTGGTTCATGGTTGATTCTGGTGCTTGTGTGACGTGTGCCACTGTTGGTGAATTGGATGTACCAGTTGACACCACAAAAACTAGGCAGTTGTATTCAGTGCAAGGCGCAGAGTTGAAAGTGTATGGGGAACAAACACCGGCTGTTGAGTTGAGCGACGGTTT